CTAGTAGCGATGCCCTTGTTACTAGTATAGCTTCTAGTAGCTTAAATAGATTTAGTATCCAGCAGGGTCGAGTAGGGTACTTTCGTCATGACTTAGCGGGGATCTAAGATTCCACTCCATGCGGTGCAACCGGCACCGAAATCGGCACCGGCCAGTGTACCATGGCTTTCCCTCCGGTCACCCAAAGAAGAACAAAGCTCAAGAAGCATCATTAAGAAGGGGCGCGTTTGCGAGCCACCTAGGATGAGTTCGGTCGTTTCTTCTTGGACTTCAACCCCCAATGCTTCAGCCTGGTGGTCGAGTATCTGCGGAACCGGCGCTTGAACGAAGCTGCACCTCTGCCGGTGGTCCCGCAGAGCCAGAAGCGGAACATGGAACTGTTGGCAGAAGCTTGGAAGTTGTGGCCATTCTTGCAACTTGGAGATCTATTCGATTGATCATCGCCGGACCCAGAAAAGAACTCTGTGAATCAGAGATAGTCTAAGTGGTTTTCTTAAGTTTAGACTAGATGATTTTAAGTTGTGACAGGAGGCCGAAATCCGGGGTGATTCTTTTCGACAGGGAAAAAAACTGTCAGTATGGGAGATGTTTAGATGTTGGGAGGGAGGGCTTTCTGTGTGCTTGAGTGGGTGCCTGAATTGGAGAAAGAACTAGCACTTGGTGGATCCTTAGCTACTGAAAGGTAAAAGGCTCAGTGTAAGTGATCACTTCTCCTGAAGATAAAGAGCCTTTGATCCTTGTCATCATACATTGATTTACAAGCATGATTCGTGATTCCTCCAGTACCTCACCAGGTTGATCCACCCATCTTCCCATGGTCCGCCAATCCGCCTACTCCGCCACCACGCCTCACATCCCCACGCATCACCCCTTTGAGCGCGCGCTCTGCCAGGAAGCCGAATCGCTTGAACCCGCTGCACGGCACCTCGCTGCACGTGACCGTGCAAGTGGAGTCCGACTTGAAGGACTCTTCCTTCGGGACCCTTCGGGACCCCCCCCGCGCCGGACCCACGGGGCTCCACAGGGATCCACCGATTCCTCCGCACGAAAGCGAGAGGAAAGATCTGAGAGCGGTAGCGGACACAAAGACCGGGTCTTGGTGGGTTTTGGGCCGCAGCTCTTAGTGGTATACGGATCGGTGGAAGGAAGAAAGGCTAAGAAAGGTGAATGGTTGCAACACCGTGGTTCTGTGTATCATGGAACTCATATGGAACATCCGACTCTATCCAGCTCATGGAACTCATATGGAACATCCGACTCTATCCAGCTATCCTAGCTTCTGTCGGTGCAGAAGTTTGTTGTTTGGGAGTAGGACCGTAGCGGTGTGTGTAAGGACCTACCGTCTGAAGTCCCACTCCGTCAGGTGACACGTCGTCTGAAGTCCCACTCCGTTGGTGCGCCCACCTGTCACAGGTGGCTTCACTGACCAAGGCGTCGAAACGGCGCCATTTGCATTCAACATCTGTTTTCAAACACCGCCCCGCCCCAAACGGCCCAACGGTATGCGAGTGGGGATCTACTATGTTCATCTATGTTCGATCTAAGATCGGGTGTCTATCTACCAACTTCTGGCGTAAACCTTGGAGTCCTCCCCTCCTTGGTACGTCCCCTCGTCCCACGTCCGTGCGCTTTTTGGAGGAGACGCAGATCGTGCGCGCGACCCACCCCGGGTGGCAAGTGCTCGGTGCCGAGCAGCCCTTGCCGGTGTCCATCGTGTGGCTTGGGACGGACGGGACACGGTCGGAGGTCGTGGAGCGGAGCTGGTGGGAAGGGGTGAGACGTGTGGGCAGAAGGTGACAAGCGAGTTGAAGGGTCACCCTGACAGTGAAAGAACCGTCATAGTTGCGGGTGTGATCCAATGGTGTTTGTGATCCAATGAGAGCTGAACAAGGTGTCCAGAGTGAGCTGAAGCTCCAGCTATTTCGGTCAACATCATCGTTGAATAAAATATATCGAAAAGACAACATCACGAAACATAAGCTGTGCATTGGCCCTGATGCATTCCTCCGGAACAGGAACAGTACGTAAGCCAACTTTAATAGAAGGTTTCTCATTGTTTCTCATGCATGCTTGCCTCTTATAGTCCGATACTTGCACCGTCCGAAATTGGCCATGTCTCCCGCTGCCTACTCACTCACGTCGTGTCTAAGGTCGTACTTCGAAGTCCAGATTCTCCACAATCCGGATACTCGTGGGGGCTTGGCCATTGGCGTTTGTGACCATTTGCCCTCAGGGCCGGAGACCCACTCCATCCATTTGCAGTCCTGCGTGCTTTATAACAGCAACAATGGACTCTTAGGCAGGAATGTGATCGGCATTGGGATATTGGCTACTTGCACCAATGTGATGCTACAGCTTCGCATGATTGCGCATGTACCATCATCATTGTGGTCCTCTTGTTACATGTTGTTGCCATTCTCAATACATGTACCATCATCAGTGGTCGGATGTTGTTACCATTCCTTTGGTTCATTGTTGGTTTGTGGAAAGCATCCGACCAATTGAGACTTCCAGATCAACGAGGACCAGAGGATACGTATGATGTACCCGCCAGCTAAAAGACCTGATAGAGCCAAGGTCAGTCGGTACTTGGTCATCGGTTTAAATAGAAATGTATGGTAAGTTCGCATCCTCAAGAGTTCATGTTGATAGGCTTTCTTATGTCTTCTTCCAGGATCCAGAACCCCCCGGAATGGACCATTCTCTGCTGCTGGGCACTCCAAAACGCATATATCCGCAACCGCTACGCCTCGCACGCCCGCAAATACACCTCCCCCCCCATGGATATCGGATGTTCGAGAGGCGATTGCATCGCGGAGCACGACGTGAAGGGCGGCTTGATGTTGGCGGAGGGGGAGCGCTTAGGGATCTCCCACGACGTGGTGTCGCAAACCTTGCAGTGGTACCACAACGGCCAAAGCATCGGCAAATCCACCTTCCGGGAACGAGCCTTGGCGAGGAAGAAGGCTGGTCGCTGGGTGTTTTTCAAAGCACATCATATTTATGGGTGAAATGACCTCTAAAAAAGGGGGTGAATCCCTTAGCATGTCTCGGTTTGGTTTGCCACTAGTGGGCTAGCAGCTAGAACATGTTTGCAAAGGACAGGTTTCTTTTGACGCAATTTATTAGAGAGATGATGAAAGAGAAGGGTGCTGGTGATGTATAGCATGCGCAGGGTTGAACGATATAATTCCACTTAGTTAGTTCCCACTTATGGCAGGGTGAGACTCTTTCTTTTGATCTAGACTCCTGAAGGGACATATTATTCGCTTCTGGTGCCGTGACAGACGTAGTACTGAACGTATTCAACACCAAACTGTCGGGAATTTCTCGAGGTCCATTCTGTAGGGCAGCCTACAGGTCGCTTGGTGTTGGTTTGACCAGTCACCAGTCGTTGGTTTTCCCCAGTCGATGGGTTTACCGTTTGACAGGATGGACTCGAATTCATATGGTGAACTTCGGCTTCGGTTCGCCAGAACTCCCGAAGAACTTGTCCCTAAAAGATATTGAAAGGTTTTGCCTCCGGCTTCGGTGGTGCAGGCTTGGTTCGAGCTTCAGAAAAGAACGTTCCATCTCGTCTCATCTGCAGAGTTTGATGATCTTGGACCTTGGGTGGGGGCCTATCACTTTGATGTTTTCTTCGTTGATGACGGTGTTCATGCGGCGGTACGGTGTTCACCTCGGACCCACCCCTTGAAGCAAGCAATGTTGGCGTCCCCAGACGCGGAACGAAAACAGAAGGATACCAGCATATGCCAACTGCTGTTTGTTTATCACGCATACACAGACTCTTGATATCTGCTGTTTGTGTACTAGACTTTTGATTCATGAAACTTCCCTATTTTTATTGTAAAACCTCCTTGAAGATGGGAGGTCTACCATTACTTCAGACTGCAGTTCGGGGCGAAGTGACCATGTGAGAATGACTCAACACCACAAGCAAAGGGAGCCCCTCCATCGGTTGGGCCGGAAGAAATGGCTGCAAGTCAAGATTTCTTGGTCATACCTGAAGGTATGGCTGCTGGTTCGGATCCTATTTACGTAAGACACATACAGTAATATGGGGATGGGAACCATCCTGGTTCTGACCCACTGCCATATAATGCTATAAGCTCATACCTGACTCACCTGACCGCTATAGCTTTCACCGATCCTTTTTGCGCTCGCCTCAGTGAACTGTTGGTCAAGCTGTTGAGCTCATGATGTAAACTCTCTTGCCCAGATGCTTCGTTCACAGCCCGATAGGTCCCTCAAAATCCAGGGATTAGTTCAACCCCAGACCCCTCTAAAGGATTCGGGTCTAGGGTCGCGTTTGGTACCTCTTTCGTTCCAAGGATGGGACTCGGTCTATCCGGTCTTCGGGCTTTACGTGCCGAACCAGTCCATGGTGGTCGACTTCCAAGCGACCCTCCCGACACAATGACGTGATGGGAGGGTCGAAAGAAGTGGTGTCACCGGATGTGTCTCACCCGACCGTACCTGCGAGTCAGTGCGAAGGAAGTGCGTGCGTAGACGAAACCATGGGGGTGATGGTATTTGAGCTGACGAAAAACCGATCTCTGACGATCTTTGGATCTTGGCCATTAATATAGATGAGTTTTGGTCAGGAGTACCTGAAATGTTTACATGTTACAGCTTTTGGGAGAAAACTTTTTAGGAAATCTGAAGCAAAACTGTGGGAATACCTGAGTTTCTCCATTTCACTGGCCCGACCGGATTCCACTTCGACCGGTGAAGTCGACTGGAACCCTGCCAACATCTGGATGGACGCTCTGAACGGAACCTTGGCTCTGATTTGATGGCCTTGTTTGATCTCAACAAGAGCCATTCACCACCCAGCGACTACCCCGCTTAACAGTCAACACAGAGTGCGTTCGAGAAACAGCAGAGGTTGCTAGAGCGAAGGGTCTGCGAGCGATGTTTGTGTCCGCATTCGATGCTTGGAACACAACAGGTGGACAGGATCTAGCTTACTCTTGGACTCAGCTGAAACCTGGGAGGCCCTTGACGAAATGCTGCCCAGAATGCAGCCGCACGGGGCCCCTGTGTTTCCACAGGTTTGGAGGTAATTTTGTGGTGTGTTGAGAGACTATCTAATTACAACTTGGAAACTTTGTGGACCATCACCAGAAAACTCTTTGGGTCTTGATCTCTATATAATTGTAGACTCTTGATGCATACCAAACACCTCATTTGGATTGTAAAGTGTAAAGCTTCTTCATACTTGGATAATTTTGGATATACTTGTTAAATCGACTGTCTGTCATGGTGGTAGACCGGTGGGAGACCATTTCGGTGACACGAAAGGGTGAGCTCTCCGAGGCTGAAGCACAGCGTCTACATGAACGCCACAGCGGAAGCCTTGAAGCCTGGCACTGACCCCAAGGCAAGTGGTCACTGTCCCAGCCGCCACCAGTCGTCTTCCCCACCGACTCATGTGAATATAGTGCAGGTCTATCGTGGATAGTGCTCCCTGTTTGTACTGCAACTGGTCAGTTTGAGGTCTTTTGAAACAATGAATGGAGGGGTCCACATACCACTGAGAAGTGCATGAGGAAGCTTGTAGCTAGGGTTATATAAATATATATATATATAGTCATTGTAACAAGAAACACACACACAAAAAAACACACACACACACACCTATTGACCTCTTTGGACAGGTCGTCGTAGACCTGCTCAAGAAGCAGCTCACCAGTCCGGTGCTGTGGGAGCCTTCCATGCAGAAGATGATCACGGTGCGCCCAACCCAACTGCTCGAGACAGAGGAACATAGGAACGGGCGATCACGGGAAAGCTGGACATCCCGGCCGGAGTGGGGACGGACAGGTTCCACCTGACTTCGGGTTGATGGAACTTCGGCTCCGGGAAGGGGGATTTCGACAAGAACTGGCCCCAGTTGGTTGATTACTAGTGGGGAGACCCCCGGTCATGTACAACCTATATAATTACAAAGAACATGCAATATTATGCCACCTTCCATCGATCCCTGTATTTGGCAACATCATTGACTTGGACTTCTAGAGAGGTGGCCGGCCTGGTGCAACACCGGTCCAAATCTGTTCGTCGTAGGATTTGGGCAGAGTAGACTTGATCTCTCAGCACAATCAATCAGCCATTGCGGCTTTGTTTTGGGGGTATATCAGGAAATATCAGGACCCATTGATGTCATAAATGAAATCGTATGAATCACATGTGGCTCCTATATATATATATATTTAGTAGTCTTCAGTTCAGGCCTTCAGGGCCTTCAAGCTGCCGGCAGCAGCGCGCCACACGCTAACCGCTCACGCCAGTCTGGCATCACTGACTTCTATGAGTGCGGGCCGAACAAGCAGATCAAGGCCTGCTGGTGGTGGAGAGTATGAGTCTCGATATATACGAAGAATAATCTAGTAGAAATAGATGTGAAGTGACATGAGACCCAAGCTCAAACATGTCCAAGTTGAATTCTCATCCATATCAAATTCAATCTTGTGGTCACGGTATCAACAGAAGGACAGGAACTGGAATGACCAAAATCAAGGCCTTTTGCTTAAAAACATGGCTTTTGTATGCTTTTGTACCATGTGAATGCCCGAAGCCGAGGTCCAAAAGAGAAAAGCCAAACAGATCAAAGCAGCAGCTTTTCACAGCACGGGACTTCATGAGGTAGTTATTCGTTCCATCCAGTGAGTGGAATTCGTTTTGGGGGCGATTCTCCAAGAGGTGGAGATCACTGTGCATTAAAATAGGGAGGGAGACACTTAGGGAGACCCCCTGGACCTGGCTGGGTAGACTGGTCTATGTTTTTCTTCCAGGGCCGGGGGTAAGGCTGCGCAGAAAGCATTTCTGATTATGGTGGTTTTGAAGCCCAGAGTTTGGACACTCATGCTCAATCATAATTGGGGAGGGTGTTTCACCTCGGAGACATCAACGTCTTTGGCAAACCGGCAAGTGTCTCTTCCACAAGATGGACAAGCAACATGAACACTTCACTCAGTTCCTAAAACTTCAGTTGGCTAGGTCAGATTGGCTGTTCACTTGGCTTTGAAGTGGGATTATCCAATGACCTACCCTCACCAAACATCTCTAGCAGCATGGCCACGATCTCTTTTAGATCTTGTTCCTCTCCTCGATGGGCGTCGACCATCGCTTGGACCGGAGCATCACTGCCATCGACTTCGACCGTCGGAGGCAATGATGAAGCGCATCAACCCCAAGGCCTGGGGCTCCACCACCAACGTTGAGGTCTGAGCGCCGGGCCCGACGAAGTCTTCGGAGTCATAAAGGAACATGCAACGTTGCATATCATAGAATGCTTGGAAGAGCTTCACAACAAGCCAAACATGAAAAAGAGTCAAGTCAAGCCAGTCAATTGAAACTTTGATAGTCTCGGTTTTCTTCCTATGGTGAGATTAGCCGACTTTGCTCAGCCGTCTTTGGTCAGCAGATCATTCTGCTGTCAAAGTTGAAAGGTTGAACCCTTTGAGCTTCCAGAAGTCAGCTTCAGTGCAAAAAGACACGCGTGCAGGATTGGGTCTTGGGTGGGAGAACCCACGTCAAGATGAAAGACATCTCCAGAATCATTCAGAATCGTCCAGATGTCATGGAATTTCACTCTTCTGAGTTCTTCTTGGGACTTTCAGACATCTCAGAGACCGACCTCTCTCCGAAGGCATCCGACCTCATCACATCATCCGGTCCCGACCGTTCCGCTTCCGCGCGCTTCGCCGTCGAAAAGCAGACCGAGCGGAGTCGGGGACCCCGCGTTTCGACTCTGGGGGCTGCGAGTCGGCCTCATTCTGCTCCCTCCCCAGAGCCTGCACCTGAACCGTGCAGCAGTCGTGCAGCACTCGTGCAGCACTTGGTCTGATGCACCGCATTGGTCCAACAGCCAGCTGGCTCATCTGCATGATGCCAGTGATGGTGCCACCACGCGTGCGTGTTTGTGACACCACGAACGCCGGACGTGACGGCACTACCCGCCGGACGTCGTCGCTGTTCCGATCCTCCGGGGCAGCCGGAGACGTGTCCGGATTGAGTTCACCATATTTGGATCATTTTGGATCCAGTCCTTTTCAGACCGGCTGGCTACCGGATGCCTCTTTATCACACGCTGCGTCCATCCCAGTCGCCCGCGCGACCAATGGCGGCGACGCGACGCAACCGAGCGGGCCTGAGCGGTCCGCTCGCCAGTTCGGATCCCTCCTGTCCTGGTGGCGTTCGGCATTGGTTCGGTCCGAGAGCGTGCGCGCGTGCGAAGCGGTTGAGCATATATGGGACATGCTTCTGAGCATGCTCAAGCGATGGATGTTGCCTTCGTGCGCCCGAAGTTCGCTCTACTGGAGGGATTCCGTCTTTTTCAGGGTCTTTGTTCTTGCAAGTGTCCCAAGTTCGAACTTGTTTCCTGTGCCCGCCCTCCCATCCTCCCCCCACAGCTGGCATAACCTGTAAACATGCATCTTCACGTGGATTCCTGGCCGGAGCGGTGTCCCACAACGACCCCCCCCCACCGCGATGACCGATGCGAGACCTCCCCGCCCTCGCTGCTTTGGCCAACGGCCCAAGGCCTTTGCGGCCCCAACGAGCCACGGACGACCCCCCCGCACGCGCCGCTTGACGTCAGAGCTACCGCGTCGTCGTGGCAGCTGAAGATGAAAGAACCCGTTCGGAACATCCAAGCGCTGGGAGTTGTTTGGTGCTTTGTCCATGGAGCGAACCCCGTTCGCCACGCCATTCTGCTGCGTTCCCTGAACCTTCAATCGTAGCACTTTATTCTGGCGAACCAAGGAAATGTTTGAGTTTCGTAGCGTTTTTTGATGAAACGCCGAGCACTTTTGATGAAACGAGCAGTTTTTAAAGATGTCGAACACTGAAGTCTTCTTGGGCGAAAGGTGGAGCAAAATGCCGCAAAACGCGCGCAAATTGAAATTTGGCGAACCACCCCAGCATGGGTTGGATATGACAGGGATCCATGTGCGTTTTTTGAGTGTTTGTAGTAGCGCTTTTAGGCAAAACGAACGTCTTTTTTGTAGCGAAGGAAGCTTCAGGTCACTTAGCGATTCTCCGACGAACGTTCGAGTAATGCAGAGGTCCGATGTTCATGACCCCTTCCAAGTCCTTGAAGAAAGGCAAAGAAAACGGGTTCCAAAGGTAGGAGTGATGGCAGTCGGAGCCATCATCCCTATATACATGAAGACCGAGGCATAGGCCGCATACGCCGCATACGCCTCAAGCTTTAGCAAGACCCGACACTGATTCGCCAGATCAGCGAATCACGAACATTTGGCTGACCTACAAGGCGTAAACCGAACACAGCATGCCTTGAAGGGTCGTCGTTGTTGGTGAGGGTTCTCATTGTGCTTCCTAAAGGCAATGGCAATCTTTCGGCTAAACAAACCTCAATAGTGAATAGTGAGGTGTGCAATGGTGTGTATAATGATGAGATGGCGAGATACATTGCACACAGTATGCTTCATTGTTAGTCTTTGAAACGCTGGTGATATAGTCCTACAAACGCTACACATATTACAAATAAGATCTAAGAAGCTAATAGGCTAAGTAAATGCAACTGGATCCACCGGCTGTTTTCTAAAGATTCTACTAGACTCGAGTGCAAAATGCGGCTGGAACGTGACAAGTGGGAGGAACGCATGGTTGCATCAGCATTCCAAATAGTAGAAAGCAACGGCTACTGTAACTACCCAACGGTGCAATTCACGTCCTCTCAGACATGCACATGGTCAAACCAAAAGACATCCCTTCTTCAGAAGGAACTGGTTAGACCTAGTGCTAGACCGTCGATCCATTGGGCCCCTGGTGTTCTGAGACAAAATCAGCTTTTGGATCTCAAAGAACCTCGGTGAAGAGAGTGCACGAAGGACGCGCGATACACGAAGGACACGCAGAAACTCGCCGGAAGATGCGTTTTTGGACCTCGATGCTCCAAGCAAACATGGCGGAGAATCCTCAATGTGTCGAAGAGGTCTTCCCATCGTTCGGTTTTCCCAGGGGCCACACTCTTATTAGGATCTAGCTTGGCCCTCACTGAAACCATGCGACTTCCCAAGCGGAGGATGGGACCGAGCTCAACAGCTAGCTAGACACTGCTTTCAACTATGGCTGGTTTCAATCCTTGCGAAGAAACGTGTCACGAAAACGTCATTTCAATGCTTCAATAGCAAATCCCATACCAATCTCAATGGCACTGCACCTACCACGAAGTCTTCACGTCGAGGTTCACATCGTGCAGTTGTGCCAGTGCGATTCACAATCAAAGCACTTCCAAAGACAACTTCGAAATACAAAAACCATGCTTGAAAAGTTAATCTTTGCAACGCAACAGTAAGGAACTTTGCAATCTCTCTAAATAATCCCTTCCACCTATCAACAATCACATGCCCTGCCCCCCGCCGAAAAAATGAAAGAAAGGCTGCTGTCGTTTTGGTCAATAGGAGGTCCCCAAAACAGCAGGACTTGCAAAGATGGAAACCTGGGAAGATCTTCAAACCCGAAAGATCGTTGAGGGAGGCCCATTATAGTTTCGCAATTTGTTACCCAACTAAAACACACCCAGATCCATTGATCTTTCGTTTCCCTTTGTAAGCATTATTTAATCGTGTTTTAAAGATTTTTCTATATTCTTCGTAATATTGTAAAACACTTCATCAAACTAACCTTCCATAAGGTGATGTCGCCGTGCCAGGCGGTTTTGCACGGCCTCGGTGGGAAGTGCGTTTGCGAGATTTTGTGGTGTTCTGTGCCATTGCGGACGGGTGCGCATGCGTAGGTAAAAGCGGAGTGGCGTCAGAGAGGGGCACGATCGGTGATTCTAGTTTGGGAGTGCCGAATTAAAGACAAACTCCCGTTTCACCACATGTGACCAATGTTTCTAGCATTTTGTAGCCTAGCCAAGAAAGCCAAGAAGGCGGATGCATTTCATTTAAGGGCCTGCGACATACAACATTTTTCAACACTAGCGCTTCTAGTAAGCAGCCGTCACTGTATGGAAACTCTCAACCGAACCTATCCACCTAAAGGCACCTGACGAGCGGAAAACGAAGTGGGAAACAGAAGCTGGGGACCACGATGGGGAAATCAAATCAGAAAAAAACGTAAAGCGGTGTGTGTTTCAACGCTGGTGCAGGGGCGTCCATCTAGGTATGTGTAACTGCCCGTGGCGGTGCTCCGTATACAACATATGTTCTGGTGTGAAAACTATTGTTGCCAACGAGGAAACGTCGTAAAAGCAGCGCTAGGTCCGTGAAGTTGTGTGGCTGTGCTGCACGTGCAACATGTTGCGTGCAGTGTTGTGAACATTTCGCAAAAGAAGCGGGCAGTTTTGTTGGCGCAGCCATGGCCTGCGTACAATGAACTCTTCCCGTGCTTGGTCCTCTATCCACCACCCGCCGTTTGATTGACAATTGTGTTTTTGTTTGAACTGCCCGTTTTGCAGTCCAATTCCCATGATGGCATGTGATGGAGGCAAAACAGGCCCTTGGCTGTCATACGCACCCCCCTTGAGATCGAAAACGTAATTTTTATAGATAACATGTTGTGAGGAAATTTGGGCCCGCTTTTGCGTCGTGTAAAGAAATTTGGGCTTGATGTCTCCCTGTGTCTGGTGAAGTTGTTAGCATGTGGGGTTATCCGTTCCTGTAACCTTAATCACGAAAGCTAGCCTTAGCTAGCTGGAGTTGCTCTTGCTTTAGCAAGTTAAGTGACGGGGTGGACGCACCTCAGAAACCTCAAATAATTGATTAAATCAATCTTATGGACCCCCCCCCCCCCCCC